AGTTCAAAATTGACATAAACAAATTTTAACATAAAACTGTAACAATTGACGTAAAAATTTATAAAAGTAAAATAATTAAATTTTAAATCTTAACGTAAATGTGTTAAAGAGTTAACATAATAAGTTAATTAAATTTAATAAAAAATAAACATTTATATTTATATTATCAAGCTAAAGTATACATCAATATTTAAATTTTTATTTTAAATAAATAATAATAATAATAATAATAATTAAAAGTTATTATTAACAAAACTTGACGTAAAGTTGTAAGAATTGATATAAACTCTTATAAAAATGAAATAAGCAAATTTAAAATTTTAACGTAAATATGTGAAAGTTAACCTAACAAGTGATAATAATAATTTTTATTAAATTAATTAATTAAATAAAATTTTAATATCAAAAAATAATATTCTTATAGTTTAAAGTAAAAAATTAAATTAAATTAAAAATTAAATAACTTTTAAAATAAACTAAACAAATTTTAAAATTATCTACATTATTATCTTAAAATAGATAAATTTAACCTGTTATATATTATTTACCTATTAACCTGTTATATAAGTTTTTATTAATTTTTAAAAATTTTATTAATTGACCTCACATTAAGATTAAACTTACCACCACCATTTTGTTTTTAATTCTATTTCCCTTTTTATATTAACTTTAAAAAGAAAACCAAATGTGAGAAATTATATTTGTAATCAAATCTTTTATAACTATATTCGTAACCATTTAAATTATTCTAAAACTAACATATTTACTTGGTTTCCAATTTTAGTTAAATTTTCTTTTCCTTGATACATTTTCAAATTTACTAGCCCTGCTCCTACCAAACAAAAGGTAGATTCCAAAGAGCAGATCCAGCAGAAAAGAATCCTAAAGGCGAAGAGATGAGAGAGTTTCTTACTTGTTATGCCCTTGGAAATCCGAACGGCATTTACTCAAAAACTAGCTAATCATCTGAAAACAGCAACTGAATGTCAGATTTATCAGAGAAATGAAATGAAGTAGCAATTGAATGTCACATTTATCAGAGAGATTAGCATCTAATATACATACATGAATATATCTTGCTCACCTGATCTAACATTTTCATTTTTCCCCTATATGCTCAAACACGTATAATTAGGCACATTTAAATGGACAAACTACAAATTATACATGGATGATTTACAATTTACGAAGCAGAAAGGATCATTAATTTATCATCTCTGCAGCTGCTCAGAGGTGTTGGTGGTGGATGATGTTGCCGTCCGGCCATTCTCTGTTCCATTATCCACAGGCACAGGCAGTCCCAACTTCCTCTCCATCTCCAAGGGTTCTATAACTTTAACAGAGCCATCTGTCAGTCCCACAGCTAACTGATTGGCATCCTGTGGGTGTGCTGTGACAACTAGTGGATATACAGTTTGGCTGTCACAGTAAAACATTGCAATCAAATGTAAGACCATACACGCATGTTTCATGTTAAACCAATTACTGGTCATATGCAAGTCTTTTCAAAGCATCACATGAACAAACAAAGCATTGGATCACTCAAAAGAAAAACCAAAGGCAATAACGTGGTGATGTAAGCTGTATTGCATTACCTGTTCGACAACGCTGGAGAGATATAAGCAGATGGTGCAATACGACATCTTAGCCTCAGACTATCAGCGTCAAATATTGCAATGTTACCATCAGTAAAAGTAGCATAAACTAGTTGGCTGTTGCAGGAATATGCTGCGCTAGATATAGGTGAAGAAAGTACTTCTTGTGGCATCCACTGCAATGCAAAAGAAAATAAAAATTTGTTCACCACATATTTAAATTCATCACATAAGGAGTAGTATTTTACCTGCCGAATGCGTTCCATCTTGTTAGCATCATATACTGCAAGTTGTGTTTCATGGCATACTAACAAGCGAACTTGATCAGAGTGGAATTGCACTCGAGTGTCACCCTGAGGTGCTTTTCCAGCTGGCAGTTGAAGTGCCACTGATTTTATCTTTTCCCAGTCATCAGCATTCCAAAAGAAAAGCTACAAACAAAGAAGTCAATAACATCAGCAGTAATAAAGGGTAATAAGAACCACTGGTCATATTTATCTAAGAACAAGAACAGAAAATAAAAACGGGACAAAACATGAGGCACTAAAAACGATTATGGCATAATGGCAGAGAAGTTTCTTTTCACGAAACTGAAATCAATTTCTTTTGTTTCTGAGGCAAGAAGAGAAATATGAAAACCGTTAAGAAAGGTAATCAGAACCCATAATCTCTTTTCCAATAACAGACAAATTGCAACCTTCAGTAATTACTCTTATCATCTAGGCAACCAAAGAAAGTATCTGCTCTCTTTTTCAACTTAAAGATGTTTTAATCACAAATAATGCTAGGCACAAGGACACACAACCATACACAGAGGTTTTGATGGTGAAGCATACCTGAGCATCAGCACCTGAAGAGACCAGGATTTTAAGACTGGTCGAAAATGCTAAACCTGTGATGCGTTTTTGGTGACCCTTCAATTTTGTTTTAACCTGACAGAAAAAAACCACCTCCTTATATAATGAATATTAAAAGGTATTGCTATCAATGTGAGATAAAAAGATATGCTTGAATCATCTTACTTCATCCACCCTGACATTGTAAATATGAATGGCTGAGTCTTCCATTCCAATTGCTATGATATTATTATCTTGCGGATGAAATGCAAGGAAGGTGGGAGCTGGAGGAGGTGGCATAAAAGTTGTCATTACCTGCAAATCAATGCAATTCCATATTGAGTAAATGATCACTATAAACTCCACCTTATTCAAAATTTCAGAGTCAGAACAGAAAAGATTGTGAAATACATAGTAATTTACCCTGAACGTCATCATATTAAACAATGAAACCTTTCCACCACATGCAGACATTACATAAGAGTCATTCTTTGACAGTGCTATGCATGGAACTGCATCTTCAGAATTATCTGGTACATCGTTAGTCATCAGAAGACCACTATTTGGTTGCCAATGTTGTGGGACAATGCTAGCAGTTGCCTATAAAACCACAAAAGATGGAAAAAAAATTATACAAGGAAACTTTTTCTACTAATATCATACGTACAACACAGGAATACAAACATTTGCATGTATATTTCAATGAGCAATTACATATAAATGTCTGCAAAGAATAAATCACCTTGCCACTAGGATTTTGTTCACTGCGACTCCATTTCCAAAGTTTCTGGATCCCATTCGTCCCAAGAGCCAGAACCCCAACACCAGAATTTGTGTACAGAAGTCGAGCAACCTTGATATAAAAGCAATTAATTAATCATAAATATGATAAACTGAACAAGATAGTCCAGAAAGATAATGTTAAAAACAAAAATGAAGAGAGACTAAAAAAATTATTAAAGTAAAACCTTGCTGGCAGTATCCAAGTTGTCTGGCATGGTGACTGTTCGACACTGAGCAGGGTCAACAATCTCAGTTAGTTCCCAAGGCTTTGTTTTATCAGACACATCCTCCAAAGTTCTCGGCTTTTCAATGCCTCTACTCATCGGTTCAACTCCATTCTACAAGAAATTGCACATAGAATTAGATGCTATTTTGAGAAAGTTGGGAAATTGTGGATCCGTTTGGTAAGGCTATCAAGACTTTCCAGACAAGTTTTTCAGCTTTTTCACTTGTTTAGAAAGGGGAAAACTTTTACAAATGTAAAATGTTTTGCGAATCAAAGGAAAAAATTGTGTTGACCGGCATCAAATGTCTCATGCCCAAGAAAGGCATAAGAAATTTTCAATCTGCCTTCTCTCTCTATGATCAATCCTATAAACCTTAGGATCAATCCCATTTAGAAAATATTGCCCACCCCTTTTTGTGGGATCAATCTTACAAAACAATAAAATAATAAAGTATTTTTTTAATCTCTTTATTTATTATTCTTTTTCCCGACAAACTACCATTGATTAGTTTTATTCAATTATTTCATTGGAATCATATCATTAGAATTATTTTTACTAAGATATTACAATTTTTAATATAATAAAAACTAATTAAGGTCAATTAAAGAAAAATATTTATAAAAAATAGGAAATAGGTTTTTCACACATGAAAATCTCTCATTTCTTTTAATTTCCAATTTATTCACTTAACAAAACTAACCAGTATAACAATATCATGAGAAACAAATAAATGAAAAGGGTTAAATATTATTTATATATAATATTTTTAATGTTGAAAAAATGTTTGGATGTCTTGCATAATTGATGAATGCTAATCTTTTTATGGTGCTATAGTAGAAAATTACTGAAGATTAAAAAAAATTTTGAAGCTGGGTTATGATGTAAAATGTTTTCTACATGATTCAAAATAGAAAATATTTTAGGCAATTTATTCAAACAATAGAAAATATTAGATTTTCCAAAAAAAAATATGTTATAGAGGAAAGATTTTCGTTTTTTGACTGTTCTGTACAATATCTCAACTTTGGTGTAATAAGTTTTTATGTTGTTTATCGTGTGAAGCAATTGATACTCATTTTCTAACCAAAAGTTAAACAATCAACAGAAAATAAAGCTTAGTGCATGTGGAGCATACAAGAATTGGAGTAGGCCTGGCAGGACTGTCTACACGTTCTACTTTGCTAACTGCTGGACCGATGCTTGTACCCATAGCAGAATTAGATACCTGATCCACAATCAAGCAATAAAATCAAGTTGTCAATAAAAGTTCATAACATAACAAATGCAAAGCCAGGTAGCATTCCAGTGGAAGATAATAACCTTCATCTCAAGTGGTGTTCTGGATGCTTCATAAGATCGAGCCTCCTTTGCCCTTAACGCTCTAAGACCATTGGCATTTGCAAGAACCTTGAATCCATTGTCTGCTGTAGTAACAACAAGCAAATTTCCTTCCTTGTTGAATCTCAATCGGGGAAGACTCTATACCATCACAATATCAAGTAAGATAACCAATTTGATACCAAAGTCATCTGTTCATCCAATCTACAAAAGATAGATAAAAGAGGAGCTCAAATTAAAAATGAGATGCTAACCGGAAGTCCCCCCTCAGCTTCTGTGGTGGTGAGAATATTTGTATTGTCCATATCCCAAAATTTTATCTGGCTATCATCACCAACAGCCAAGAAGCGATCCCTTGTTGTGTCAAATTGTACTACACCGGTAGAGTTCTTTCTAAAACCAGAATATGTCCTCTTTATTTTTCCTTCACTTTCATTCCATTCAACCAGGAATGAATCTCCATCTTTACTTGTCCCACAAGAGAATAATCTGTATTAGAGAGAGGATTGTTAATTTGTAACATTTCATATACGGCTAAGAAGATTTGTAGATCAGTCTAAGAGAAAAAAGCTAACCCTTTATAGCTACTACACTAAGTTTTCATCTACCTACCTACTACCATCAGCACTGTAGAGCATCGTGGTACACCACTGTCCAGGAGCATCATAGTCAACCCTAGAGCCCATATTGTCATACAACCAAGCCTTGATTTTGCCATCAACAGCAGTTGAAAATATAAACTGCAACAATATGACAGAAGATCATGCAATAGTTGGATGCATAAATAGTTCAAAATTGAAATAATATGTTTCATATGCTACAACACATTTTTCAAGCTCAGCCCTGATAAAAACCAAGGAAAACAAGAAACAGATTAAATATAGAAACAAATAAATTAAGGTTCAGTGACCAACATGGATGCAAAAATGCACAGGCACCACTGCCTTCTGATCTCATGTAGAGACCAGTATGCAAAGTGATAAAAGAATTCGGGTACATATTGTCATCTACAATACAGCTTCCTCCATAAAATGAGATGTGCAGATTTAGTAGTTGTTAGATATTATTAATACAAAAAGCAGTCTATCTTTTCTTCACACAGATCAGCATATATCTAAACTTGCATCACATGGTTCCTTGACTAATAGGCAATAGCCAGTTGCAGCAATGTACTTCTGTATCAAAAAATCAGCTTATCCTCACAATCAAGTAATTTTCATCAAGGCATAAATTATCATCCAGACATTATTTAAAGAAACTGCCTACCTGAATATTTTCCTTCTGGTGAGGACAAACAGAATAAACAGGTGCCTCATGGCCTTCAAAATTAAAAAGCCTACTTCCAGACAAATCCCACACCTACAGTTGTCAATGAAACTGAGAACACATGACGTTTAAAGATAAAAAAATGCAGACCATGTCATTCACTTCCCTACCTTTATTAACTTATCATCTCCACAAGTAACAACACAGAGTTTTTTGTTTGGACGAGCGAAAGCTAAGTCATTTACGCCACCCACATGGGCATCAATCTATCAGATGGCAATTATCAGTTTACATTTAAGAGTAATGCCTCCTTGAGCAAAGTATAAGAAGGTGAATTAGAAACATACCTCTAGATGTGGATGTAGATCATTTGATGCTTGATACGCATGCAAATGAACAAGATGCTTTGTAAATGCAACTCCTGCACCCAGAAAAGTTCTATAAAGAAGCTCAAAACTGCACTTATTAGAGGTAAATTACTGTTGCAGCACATACCAATCAAACTTCCATCTGGGCTCCAAGCTACACGACTTACAGATATGGACGACTCTTTAACAATACTAGCCTGCAAGAGACTCTCAATTATAATCCTTACAGATGTATTTTGCCAAACTTCCAGCATTCCAGTAATATCAAGCGAAAGTATAAACCTTATCTTGTTTCAAAATACATTTTAAAGAAAAGGGAGAGATGGTGTTAAAAAGAAAAAAAAAACAACTCAGTTGATGAGTCAGGGAGGACATGGTTTACATAGTTGAAGTATAGTTTTGATAGAGAAGAGAAATATTTTAAAAAGGAGATTGTCCAATTCTTCAGTAACATTAAAACTGAAATTACTGAACTAACATGCCTTTATGGACAATGATCACAAGCAAATAAGTTCTTGTCAAATAATTCAGACATATTTAACTCATTCAAATTGATGCTGTGAATCAGGAATATACAACTCTCAAAAATATATCATTTTAGTGGTCCAGAAAAGAAAAAGAAATAAGAAAATAAAATATATGATTTTTTTATTAACTCAAAGATGAGATATCAACCTGAAATGGAACTGAACAAGTAGCCATATCCCATATCTTGAATGGTTTTGACACCAATCTCTCTAGCGTGCTAACTTCCCATAAGGAAATTTCACCATTGCTACAACCAACTATTTAGAAAGATGCATAAAGCAAGTTAAGAAAACACAACCCATAGCAACTGAACTAAACAAATGAATTTTGATCTAAAATCACTCTAGGCAAGCTGGTTTGTAAAGCTGTCAGTGATTTTACCAGTAAGTAATGTATGAAGAGAAGGATGGAAATCCATGCTTGTGACACTGGATCCCTGATGAATGGTACAAGCAACAGATCTTGGTAGGTCATCAAGTGACCATGAGGCTAGTTGAGGAGGAGCAGGATATGTGACCTAAACACATTAATTAAGAATTCCGATAATTATTATCTATATATTACAGCATAGTTGCAAAATATGTGGGGAAGTATCTAGAACTGCCATGGAAGAATATGACCTCTTGAAGATTTACCTCATCAACAGATTGTGCAGTCCGCAAACGTTTCATTAAGTGTTCATGATCAGTGCTCCCATAGTCAATCATTCCAAGCATATTTGATGCTGTTCTTGGATGTTTCAAAACTGAGACTGCCGTAACATTCAAAACAAAATTAGGTTAGTTATATACCTAAGGAATTAATCAAACAAGAAGAAAATGGTACAATCCAACCTCCCCGCCTCCCCCCCCCCCCCCCCCCCCCCCCCCCCCCCACTTCGTTCTCTCTTCCCTTCTTTTTATTGTTTTTTTAAGCACTCCTTTAAACCATTTCAAATGAAGGAAATTATAGATCTTTGATATATTATTTTAACAGTTGACAAGTCCATATCAAGATTTCAGACTAAACAGAATGTCCCTCTTTAAATTAAACTTATATCCAGTTTAACGAGTATACAAGCCAAGTATTGGGGTTTCTCAACACCCTTTCATCAGGATCATCCATACATCTTTATTAACAGGGATATGAAGTGAGAACCAAAAACACAAAGGACAGATGCAATCCAAGATATGCCACTGATAATTCTACCAGCATAAATACAATATCCGAGGATAAATGTAGAAACTGAAAAGTATTCCTGCTTAAAACACAATGAGTTTGGCTACCAAAATGCCAACCATGATAGCACATTAATTTTACCTTGATTTTGAGGAACAGGCAATGATGATGCAGAAGCAGCAACGATGGCAGATTGGACTGATGAGGAAGGATTGGCACTTGCCATCCAGCCAGCTAAAGCATTAGCATTTGCAGCAGCAGCAGGTGGTGGTGGTGGAAAAGGCTGCAATATCATAACAGGAAGAAAAGACATCCTAAGGTCAGCATGAGAAACATGCATCAACGACATCCATGATTCAAAACTATAGGAAACATTAGGATCATACTCCACCATGTGCTCCAAGTGGAGCATAGGTTGAAGGCTTAGCAACTGCTGCAACTGGAAGAGTTACTGGAGTAGGTGCACGAGCCCCATTCGGAGGTGAACAACTGTGATCAGTGAATAAGGTTTTAATATCTGGATTAGGCCTAGGATTTTTACACAGCTGGTGTTGCCAATTCAAACTGCAAATATACAATCAGTCAGATTCCACATCATCCATTTACCATATTTACAACCAAATACTATATCCTGCAACAAAATGTAAAATTCACCTTTGATTAATCAAAGTTCGCAACCGTGATGCCTTTAATGTAGGCAAAACAAGTTTCTCCCGGAACAAGGGATTCGCTTCTATTAGTTTCTTAAGCTCAACCAGCATTATGCTCCGAGCCGATTTAGTATCACCATACTTCGATAGCTGCTCATTTTCCCTACATCATATCAAAAACGAAAACCTTAAATTACATTTAATTCTACATCTACAACCAACCATCAAATTCCACAATCTTAATTACCTAAAGTTCTCGAGCGTTAAAAGCTGCGTAATTTCCTTATAAAGTTCTTCATTAAATGTCGAAAAAACTTTCAAATCCTTCACTAAAATCTCAACAGCTTTAGCTCTATCACGCCTGAAACAAAACAAAAACCAAAACAAACATTATTATACATAATTACACCAAATCCTTCAAATAATTAAAAAGAAAAAATAGAGTTTACCGGTCCAAAGCTTCTAGATACTTCTGCTTTCTGATCTCAAAATAAATCTTCATCGAATATCGATTATCGTCAACTTTAGTGAATCCAGAGAGGTATTTCTCAACTTCGTCCCATTCTCCGGCGAGAGCTTTCTCTTCGAAGTATTTCATGTTGAAGAAGAACCCTGACTCTTGCTCTAACCTGGGCGCTCAACCAAAAACGACACAAACTCACATTAAAACGACAACAGAAACAACACAAAAAAGGAATAAAAAAAATGAAAATGAAACTGATGTTAAACGCTTACTTGTGAACGGTCTCTTTGAACTTCTCTTCTTCGAGGAATTGGAGAATTAAGAACACTAATTCTCTGCTAAGAGACGACATTTCTTCAAAGCTTTGCCGATCGAGAAATTGAAAATTGAAAATTAGGGAGTTAGGGTTTTTAATTTAAACAAAAATAGCCATAAAAAAAGAGAGAAAAGAACAGAGCGAAAGCGAGCGAGCGAGCGAGCGAGAGAGAGTTGAAAATGGGAACTCAAAGGCGAATTAAAAGAAGAGAACAGGTGGTGAAACGACGGCGTCTCTTGGAAGTTAGCGGCCGCTGAGAAAGATGGTGGAGAAATTGGTCGTCCTTGGACTGATTTCTAGGGTTTGCGGTTGCATTTCATGCTTCGCGTTCAACGACAACAGTCGAAGAAAAGCTGCCAAGAGAAAATAAAAATTGAAAAGAAAAAGATAAAGAAGAGAGAGAAAGTGAGTTTCACCTTTATCGATGCGTACCGACCTCAATTGATAAGTGCAACGACTTCTCACTAGATTGATAAGCACTCTGCCCTTATACCCTTCCTGCAACAATAAGTACGTGGAGGCTAAATCGGATTCAGGCTATTTCAATGTGCGGACGGGACTTGCAAGAACCGGTTTGCAATGAACGAGGGTGGACTTGAGGTGCTTACATGGAGAGAAATTAATGGTTTAGTGGAAGTGGTTAAGAGAGAGGTTTGATGTAGACAATAAAAACCTAGGAACTCGCGTCGTTAATGCGGAACCGAAAGTGGGAAATTAAGTGGATTGAATAAAAGGTACTAAAGTCCGGCATATGCCTTTGCATTGTCGGTTTAATGACGTGTCGAACTTTTACGCTGCATCTGCTTGACTCTTTCAACTGTGTCGGGATCTTAGCTTGTTTTCTTAAGACTATCTCGCGAGAATTTCTCAAGCAGAGTTGGTAAGCAACTTGGAACCAGAAGCTTCCAAGGAATTAAAGAATGCGAAAACTAAAAAAAAAAGTTAAAATAAATTCATATTCTTGGCCTTTTTCTCTTTTTCAGTTTTTCGTATTGTCATGACACTGACAGGTACCATATTCTATAACTCCATTTTATAGATTTTAATATATTTTTATATTAAATTTTTAAAAAAATTAATTATATAAATATTCAATGTTTTTTATTATAATAAATAATACTATTAAATAATTTAAAAGTTAAAAACAAATTATTTTAAAATACTTAAAAAATAAATATTCATATTTGTTGTTTATACCATTAAAAGTAAGTTACACACACATGATATGCCTTATTGAATTTATAAAACATTTTATTGTGAATAATTACTTATTTACCAATCCGCGATATTCTAAAATTGATGCATAACATATATTTAATGAATAATGTCACATCAAATTGAGTAAACATGAAAATAAAACAATTTACACATGTCGAATAAATTCATGTTACAATAAAACCAACTTCAACTTACTCCAAACAAGTGATAACTAATATTATAATTTTATAGTAACTTATTTAAATACAAGAATTATATGAATTTACAAAAGTTAAGAATAATCAAATTTAATTATGAATGATATTTTATGTTTAAGAGACATATAATTTGACTTTTATGATGTGATTACATGGTGACTGACATGATCATAAGATGATGACATGGTAATAATGTCATCATATATTTCATACAATAATGTTGTATGTGATGGATAAAAAATACATAATATTTAAAAAGGTTTATAACTTATTAAAAAAAATTTAAATAAATTATTACTATTTTGTTATATTTAATCAAGTATTCGTATTTTTATTTTAAGTTAATTAAGTTATTATATTTTTATTTTAAATTAAATAAATATTTATAATTAATGATTAATTTAATCAAAATGTCACTTGTCATTATATATCATATAATGTTGATGTGATATAATAATAAATAATAATATAATATATTAATATAACATAATAAATATTTTTTTATAATGTATGATGAACATTTTAACTAATGACAAATAATTTATCATTGCTCGTAAGAAATTGTTTGATAAAAAATAAAAACATAAGAGATTTGATTAAACATAAGAGAATAATAAAATGTTTATTTGATTTTTTAATAATTTAGAGATATTTTTAAATATTATATTGTAAAAAAAATCAATTAATATTAAATTTGATTGACATTAAAAGGATGGTGCGAGTATAAATTGAAAAATAAAAATTTTGATGAGTTAAAAAAAAAATTATAGTGTAATAAATTTAAGATTTTTTTAATATTTAAATAAATTTTAAAAAACCACTATAAAAAGCGATAGATGGAGATTCAAACGTCACGTAACAAGAGTCGCAATCTAACTTTCGTGGTGCGATATCAAAAGCGAGTCTCATCACAAGCCAAAAAAGTAAATAGTGCTTGACATCGAAGCTTACAGTTTTCTTCCATGAAAGCGACTGTGACACGTGTCAGTCAGCGGGGACATCTGGAGTCTTAGCTTCTTGGTGGCCAAGAATGTGGGCCTACCAAGCGTTGTCCGTGCCGAAGAAGAAAGAATATTGCTAGCCTAGGACCCCACTTCTCCACCATCTACGGACCGCGAGACATCTCTACACGTGGCTAATCACCATTTGTGGTTACAATCGTAGTCAACTGCTCCTTGGCAGTTGCAGTGAGGTCTTGATGTACCACAACATCTACCCCGCAATCACAATTTATTTCCACATTTGATAGGATAACGTGGAATATGTCAACCTAAATTCTTTCCTTTAATGCAAAGAAAAAACATTTCTTATTTAGTAATATATATATATATATATATACAGTAATACTATAAACATCTCTATCATGTTTTAATAGTTATAATTTATAAATATTTAATAAAATGAACAACTGGTGCATTTTGCACAAGTAATAATATAAAATTTTTATATTTATAATTATATATAATTAAAAAATAACATGTGATAAGTTGATATGTGATATTTTAAAATAAGGCATTCGAAGAAAAAAAAATGAGAAATTATATATAAGACATATTAATGAACAATAAAGAAGTTAAAAATTAAAAGCATTGGGTTAAAGATATATAGGAAAAAAAACAAAAAAGAAAATGATTTATACTTATTTTTCTTTTTTTCCCTCACTCATTTATTGTTTATTTTCCTTTTAATTATTTAAAAAGTTGTGATTTGTAATAAATTTAAAATAAATAATTGATTCAACTAATCAATTTGTGTTGTTTTTATTTATTATCACAAAAATTATAACTTCTACTCATAATATAAAGAAAAAAATATTTATCTATTTTATTAAAAAAATTTAGGCACGGGCCTTTTACTAATGTTTTATATTACAAGAACGGGTTTGATTCTTGTTGATTATTATTTTTTTGTACATTACTTTCTAATACAACAACGTGAATAAATGTGTTTTCAAACACGTGAAACCATAATGTGGCATAAAATAATTAAATAATACATTATTTATAGTTTTAATTAATTATAAAAAGATTATTTTTTTCAAAAAAAACTACTTAATTAACTAAATGGTTAAAAACAATTTAGCCCAGCCCAGATCAGCCCAATAACTACTTTGGGTTAGACCAACGGCTATGATCCGTTTCAAAACCCAGTCAGCCTCGTACCAAAATGCAAAACCCTCAAAAAAACCCACACTCAACCTCAACCGCCTAGAGGAGGAGTAGAAGAAGAAGAGGAAGAAGAAAAAACTTGCAGAGCTAAAGCTTCGATGGCGGCCAAGAACCAACAAACGCAAAAACCCAAAAAGAGAAAGCAAATTTCAAGCGTCAAAGTCGAGCGAGATGGCTCAAAATCCAAGAAGCCGAAGCTCCTTGCGTCGAAGCCATCAAAAGACGGTTCAAGCAAGCCACTGAAGAAACCTTTCAAATTACCCAAACAAAAACGGGAGCAACCAAATGATTCGAAGTTTGAGAAATCAGAATCTGGGAATGAAAATAAAGAGCTCACAAAGCGAGAGCGTCGCCTTCTTGCCAAGGTTATTATATTTCTTCTGATTGGAAATTGCAGAAGGCAGGGCTTGTTTGTTTGTTTTAAAACGTTTATCGTTTTATTTGTTATGCCAGGAATTGGCAGAAGCTAGAAAGAAGAAGAGGAAGCCACATTATACTCTTGAACAGGTAAGTCCATTTTCTGCCTTTGTTACTTCAAAAAGAATGGTTTGTAGTGGAATTAAGAATCAAGGAAGGAAGATAAATTGCAATTTGGATTGAGCAGGGTTTTGTCTTTGTTTGCTTTGGGTATCAGGAGTTATTTGCAATTTATAATGGTTGATTTCTGTGAGTGTATGGTAATCATTGACTAAAGCAAGTGTTGCTTCGTTTACATTGCAATAGGAGCTTGCATCTCTGTGGGAAAAGATGAGACGTCGGAATATTGCAAAAGAAGACAGATCAAAGTATGTTTTTGGGAACAAAGATAATGGTTTGTCCTCCTATATGGCCTTTTTTTAATAAATGTTATTTGAATTGTTTTCAGGCTGATAACTGAAGCTCTACAAAAAATGAAGGGGAAGATTTCGGAAATTGCTGGCTCTCATGTTTCTTCTCGTGTTCTTCAGGTGGTTTTTTAGCCTTTTCTTTAAGTTTCAAATTAGTTATTCCGCTGCAGTAGTCTATGGTTGTCTTAACCTTTTTTTTTTTTTTCTACCTCAGACTTGTGTTAAGTACTGCTCACAAACGGAAAGGGATGCTGTATTTGCAGAGCTTCGGCCACATCTTCTCACCCTTGCATGCAATGCTTATGCTGTGCATCTGGTGAAGAAAATGTTAGATACCGGTAGGGTTATGCTGCTTGACGGACTAGGTTGTATAGTCTCTTTTAGTTGATGTTAATCCTATTGTTATCATGGTCTCATGACACACTTCACAATGCATGCAGCATCTAAAACACAGCTGGCAGGGGTTATCTCCTCTCTCCGAGGCCATGTTGCTTCTCTTCTTCGGCATATGGTTGGATCTGTAGGTATGTCAGACTTTATTTGCTCACCTAAATAGTTGAATTTAACGGTACATTTGCTATTAAAAATGTGTTGAAATCAGCTTGATTTCATTTGCATGTGACATGTGTTGAAGTGAGTGATATAGCTGGTTTATTTCCATTAGGCAGATCTCATTTTAGGTTTTTGGGAGGTAAATCTCTTCTCAAGCCTTGCTGACGTTGGGTGTCCTTGCTTATATCTCTGCAGTTATTGAGCATGCATATCAACTAGGAAATGCCACTCAAAAACAAGAGCTTCTGATGGAATTATATTCTACTGAGCTTCAGCTGTTTAAAGACCTTGCATCTATCAAAGAGAGCAGGTAAACCATACTATATAAATTTATAATTTCTACTCATGGCTGTCATGTGTTTGGTGAATGGTCAAAGTATAGTATTCTTTCAAAAGTTCTAAAGAGCTGATAACTACTCATGGAGGCTGATGGGTACTCTCTAAATTTTGTGATGTTATTGCTTCCATGGCTCTGTTGGTAGTGTGAGTTTTTAAGGTAGTTTGTTGCATATATGTGATTCCACAGTGATATCCTACTTGTTGCTTTGTTTAACATATATTTTTTATGCAAGTTGGGAATATATTTTGATAAAATTTTCTATCTTTCAGGTTAATAGATGCAATTTCAAAGCTTGGCCTGCAGAAATCCTCTGTTTTACGGCACATGAATTCAGTTATTCAACCAATCCTTGAAAAAGGAATAGTAGACCACTCCATGATACACAGGGTGTTATTAGAGTATTTGAGCATTGCTGATCAGGTATTATAGATCTTAACATGCATACTTGAAACATTCTCTAAGGAGTTTCTTGCCTGTAGCACTGGTGTTGCCATGTGATTTCTCTTTCTAAAGTAAGTTTGTCGATAGTCCTCTGCTGCAGATATAATTCAACAGCTGTCTGGTCCACTCCTTGTCCGTATGATCCACACCCGGGATGGATCTAAGATTGGGATGCTTTGTGTCAAGCATGGGAGTGCAAAGGTTTGTTGCAGTCTGTCGAATGAGTTTCATAAAACCTAAAACACAAAAGATACCTTTTTTTTCTGTTTTAATTTACCGGTAGTATTTTGGTGTGGAATTTCTTGCAAACCCCTGAGTCATCCTCCCTGATTGTGTTTTATTTAGGAAAGAAAGAAAATTATCAAAGGAATGAAAGGCCACATAAGCAAGATAGCTCATGATCAATGTGGGTGCATGGTAAGGGTTCCTTATGGAATTTTATCCACTCAAATTTCATTCTGTTAGAAAGTGTGATCACCTACTTCCTTGACAAAATGCACTTTATTGTGCTCCACAATTTAGCAGCATGGTTCTATGTTTGAAATGTAATTGACTCTTTGTAAATTCAACTATGGCACTAGTAATGAACACATTTGATCTGATGATAATATTGATGTGTTATGATGCCTTTCATTTAGATTTAAATTGATGCATTTGTGTCTGAATTCCATTTTATTATCTACTTATTGAATTTTTGTACAATTTTTGTGGTAAGTTTTATTATGTATCATTTACTTTCAGGTGCTTATCTGTATTGTTTCAATGGTGGATGACACAAAGCTTATAACAAAGGTTTGTTTCTGCTAGAAGCTTTTCATTACTACTTCTCTATATATTGTGTAACGCTGCTTTCTAATAGTGTTTGTAACTTGAATTGTTGTTTACAGATTGTCATCCGTGAGCTTCAAACAACATTGAAAGAGCTTGTTTTGGACAAGGTTTATATTCATCCTAAACCCGTTATCTAAATGGACTTTTAAGAAGATAACTTGTTTGGGAAATAAGGATGGGCTAATAGCTTTTAAGTGAATAAAAAAAATTAAAGGAAAGTTTCTAGTTGCTGCTGGTAGTCTGATATTTCCCGAAATGTACACCCTCATTATCATCTGAAGTATATTTATCTGGAGAATTTTTTGAACTCCAAACAATATGTTGAGGAGTTGGTCAGCTAGGATCATGTAAAAAGTGTAATCTTTTTTTAGATTTCTTTTAGAATGTCCATAGTATGGATCTTATCCCTGAAGTTGTGCCATTTGTTGGAGCTATAGTACCTGGTGGACCCCCATTTTGGTCTTCTGACATTAGTTTAGTCTTTAATACTTCTGCATTGCTTATTGGTTTCTGTTTCGGTATTTGTGAATTTCAGAGTGGAAGGCGCTTGTTGTTGCAGCTGCTTCATCCAAATTGTTCACGCTATTTAAGTCCTGATGATCTGGCCTCTCTAAATTTATCTGTCCCCACTCTCAGTATTAAGGTAGTTTTAAAGTCGTGATCTTTTGTAGAACTATCTTAGACTGCAAATGACTTGTGCTAGAATTTACTATGGTTTTTCACCTTGTCAGAATGAGTTAGAAGTCAAATCTGAGGAAATTTCAAGGGATGAAGAATCTGGTAAGGAGGCAGCCACGAGTGATCCTGATGTGACAGCACCTGAGTCTGGTAATAGTGCTACTCCTGCAGAGAATTACGTGGCTGAGGGTGGGAAGAAAGATCCTTCCTTAAGGAGGCGGGAGTTGCTAGTCAGTAGTGGGCTTGCTGAGGTTTGTTGCTCCTCTTCCCCATTCTGGTGATCTGTCCTTGTTTGTTTGTTTTTAAAAAGAAATTTTTTATCTGCCCAATTTATCGACCTCTTCCAGTTCACAGTTGTTGTACTTGATTCTTGGTGCTTTGGACCTTATTCTAGGATATATCTGCAATATTTCATGCCTGGAATTATGTCTACACTTTGGCTTGGCTCATGTGTGATGCTTGGTTTTGCAGAACCTTGTTGATGTGTGCATTGAGAACGCAGAAGAATTGCTTAGGTCAAATTTTGGCAAAGACATGCTTTTTGAGGTAATCAGCTTTTTCCCTCCATGATCTTCCTAATGGAGTTGTATTCTTTTTTATAAAATCCAAAAGTAGGTTAGCTGGAAGCCTGGAACCTTGTTGATAACTGAACAATTGTCTCCTTTATACGGTATTAACTGTGACAGTTTGTCATTTTGCTCAAAGTAGGGTCTGATTTACACTTAGATGATCAGACAGTCTCTCTTTCCTTTTGAATTTCAGTCTGTGGTTGTGTCTTCTTTTATTGAACTATTTTCAATCCTTGATCTAATGATTTGACTGCCTTGGCATATCTTTTGGAAACAATGCAGGTTGCAATGGGGGGTTTTGATGGTATTCTCCATCTGAGTTTGGATGAAAAGTTAAATAACTTGTATGAAGCTATAGCAGCACTTGCGGCGAAACCTAAATCTGAAGAATCCGAAGAACATGTACTTGAAAATTTTCATTCCAGTCGCACCATAAGGAAACTAGTTTTAGACTGCCCAGCATTTGCTTCCACTTTATGGAAGAAATCTTTGGAAGGAAAGTGTCAATTGTGGGCCCAGGGTCACAGGTTAGCTGCTTTGCTTCCTCTTTGTAAATCTTGCGCATTTAAAGCATAAATGCCTATTTGATCTCTGAATGTTACATGTTGATGTTGGGTCCCATTGTTGTAATTGCAGTTCCAAGGTAGTGTGTGCATTTTGGGAATCCTCAGACTCCAAGGTCCATAAACTGGCAAAAGAAGAGTTGCGGCCCTTGATTGATGGGGGTATTCTCAAAATCCCTGAAACTAAGCAATCAGCAAAAGGTTAGGTTGGCTTGTAATGAAGACAAGAAAATTTTGATCATTGAACCGGCATTGTTGATTGGACTGCAAGCAAGTTGAGTGAATGAACAAACTCTACTCTGTATTTATAGCCATGAAGGAATTTATGTAACATGCAGAGCAAATTATATGAAGTTTCTTAGCTGAAATGGGGTTCATGGCAAAGTCAAAATTTATATCAATATCAAGGGTAGTCTCTTTTTTCATTTCTCCCTCCTCCTGTAATATGGATTTGGCAATTTACGAAATCACTGTAGAACTTGGAAAGTGGCAATCATATCATACATTTGAGTTAATTTTGCTTTTGATCCCTAATGCATGAGCATAATAAAACTAGTTTTTGTCCTACTTGAACTGTTTGTTCTGTCATTCATTAAAATTGAAAATACTTGTGTCTAGATTGTCTTAAAGTAAGTAAGTTGTTATGCTATCACACTGTAGAACAGAGTAAAGAAGAATTCTCGTGTGACTGAATCGAATCATTTTATAAATCAAAAGCAAATTTCTTTGTTTTGATTGATGCTAAAGAATGATGATCATGAATGAATACAAACAGATTTGCTCTTAAGCATTCCCCTAAATATTCCTGTTGCTGATGCATTCTCAAAGATTGGGGACTGATACGTCCCTCTTCCCTGTACACTTCTCCTTTGCAAGTGCCAAAAGCTCTCAGGTGTCTTGTAACTTTGGACCCTCAAGTGTGGGTAGCCTTGAAATAGATAATCCGAAGGTTCAAAAATCGGGGTCTCTCTCTGACTCTTTTGTCTAATCTTACTCTGACAAAGTTTGTTTGAGGGATCAAAGAGCGGGGATTCCCTCCTGGACAAGCTATTAACCCTCAAGCAGTGTTCTATAACCCTGACTTCCTCTTTCAATCTATCTCTGATATCTTTTAGACCTTGCACAACTCTACTAGACCTTGCACAGCTTGTAGGGTCCTTCGCCTTGGGTTTTGATGAATATCGTGAATTGGCAAGGGAATTGCCGCTTGTGTATGGGATTCTGTTGCATTCAATGCAGAAGTATTTCCACCTCTCCGAGTTAAAAGCTCTTCTCCTCACACTGTCAGAAAGACATGTATATGCCTGCAAGTGAAGAAGTGAAGAGTTCGTTTACTTCTATGAACCAAAAAAGAAAGAAGAAATAGAAAAACCCATTTTTGGATTGATCTCGTTGAGTTCGGTGAGGGACCATTTAGTGCGTTAGCAAGAATGAATGCTGTCACACCTAACTGTTGGTTAAAATTTGAGATCTTTTGTTGAACCAAATTTCTGTTACTACAATTGAATGGGGTACGTTTCTTTCTTTATGATTCTGTCTGGTGGGACACATTTACGTCTGTTTCTTTCCCCCTTAAACCGAATTGATTGGTGTACTTATGCCTCCATGACCATTCAGAAGTCAAAAGTAAACTATCTTTCTCTTTAGCATTCCACAACTTGTGATCGAATCTCGCCTTTACTAAGTTCAGCATTCTGCCATGCCATAGCAGAATGCCAAATTCTGACAAGGGAAAAATTAGAAAGAAAAGAAAGCAAGAACTGAATATTTCTTAATTTATCCATAATCTATTTATATCCTGTTAACTACAATTTGTTGAAATCTACCAAGCAATCCGATCCCTATCCCAACTTCCAATGCCACCTAAACTAATCTAACCTGTGAGACAAGCTTGAAGGCAATCTCAGCTTTTGGATGCTTATTCTTATCTGGATGAAGTTGCAAAGCTGCAAACACAAAAAAGCAACCCTTTCAAAATACTACAACTACAACATTTATGTGTAGAACTTTGATTTTCTGGGATTAGCCTACCAAGTTTATGATAACGCTTTTTGACAAGGTCTGTTCCTGCATCTTCTGCCACCTGCAAGGGAAGATCCTGAGCCAAATGGAATAACCCCAAAAAGGGTTGAACATTCTGATGGAGATTAACATCAAGAAAGCCTGGAGAAAGAAAAAACGTACTCCTAGAACACGATACCAGTCGATGAAATGTGACTTAACAGGGTTGTTGAAATGGTGCCTGTGAGAACATGCAATGGGAGTGCGTGACATGGAGCAAATTTCCAGGACCAACTGTGACCTTGCATCTGATTCCAGCCCAACTCTCCCCATTGTTTTGGAGATTAACGAAAAACCAAAATAGGGGTATAAACTTTGGAATGGAACGACCAAAAAAATGGGGTGAACGGGCTTGGAAAAGGCAGATTGAAGAGAGGGTTCTTTATGGGAAGAGAGGAGAGGAAGTAATGTAAATGTAAGGTGGAGCGGTTAAGAAAAACAAGGGAGAGTTTGCGGGACAGAGGAAGGAGAAATAAATAAATAAATAAATGTTTTGAAAGTGGATCAGTTGGTGGGAAGAAAAACAAACGTTGGTTTTGCCATGTGGCGAAGTTCAACCTCTGAGAATGTTTCTATGGGGGCTTTTAGCCAGTTCCTGTTAAGGCTTTGTTTCAAAATTTTAGGCTTTAAAATCTAGAAAATCACTTTGGGTTTTGAATTTAAAACCCAATGTAAAAATTTAACTGAAAATTTTATTTTTGGGATAACTGAAAAGCTTTCATTTAGTCTCTTTAAAGTTAAAAATCTTTTGGGTTTTTTTTTTTAAGAATATAATTTGATTTCAAATACTTTGCAACAAATTTAGAACTCCTAGGGTACTTTTTCCTAAAAGGCAATTGTTGTTGTTGTGGTATTATGAAAGGTAAGAATATATTAAGTGACAGATTGCTTTGATGATTGCAGAAAAGATAAGGAATCAAATCAGACATCCATAGAAAGATTGAAAATGGAGGACCTAAAAAGAAAAGGGTTAGATGGTAACCCTTTTTGCAACCCAACCATTGATTGGAGATTGGAAAAGAGGTGATTTATAATATTATTGGGTTGATGATCTCTTTCTGAGTAGAATCATTTTTTCTAAACGAAATGATATCATAGTGTTATCTTTTCATTCATCAGAATGTTGCAGTAATGAAATACCAAATGCAAAGTTATAACTAGAGAGAAAAACCCAATGTGTTTTGAAGATTTACAAGATTACACAATCTTTTCCAGGTTCTTTATTCATCAACTATTTTCTTTTTGACATTGAAATCAGAAATTTTCAACAGGTTTAACAATGAAAGAGTATTGAATTCAATCACATGAAACTGGAGCGTCCAGCTGGTGTGACCCACTCAAATAATACCCAGTTGGAACTCCAAGCCTATGAAAAGGTGTCAAAAGGGTGGTTGAAAGAAGGGTATCAACTTGGCCCCCCTCCCTTGTCATGGGGTCCTTTGGGCCAGAAATTTTAACCTCTCCATTCCCCAAAACCCTTTTCTTTTGTTCACCTTTTGCCAAACTGTTGACAAACAGCTTGAAATTTCATAAATTCTTTGTGTGCTTGGTTGGTGGATCCAGTTGCTTCTTCCAAGTTTATGAAGAAAGCAAAATTTAGTATGGGGTCGAGGCCATGGCACATGGCTTTTATATTTCTCCTAGAAGAGTTTAATGTACAAAAAATTTTCATCAAATTGTCCTCTAATTCTAAACTTTTCTCTTTTGATTATAAAAGGAAGAGCCTGTTGGATGTGTCTAGGAAATTGTAATTGGCACAAAAGAAGTGTAAAATGATTCCAAGAATAAGGGGTTTTCTTTTTCCCTTCTGGTTAGCCCGTACATTAGGTCTTGGAAAGACTATCTAAAGGGCTAAAAGCCTTTTTATTGAGCTATTCTATAGGTTTAAAACCTATGAAAACATAATAATAATAATGGAATTATGGAGATTCACATTTCATAAAGTATTCAATTCACCCTATGCCTGTGGAAAAAGGTCAATTGGAGCAGTTGGAATTCAAAATCCAATGTCATTTTTGTGGAACTAGGTAGAATGGGGGACTTGGGAATACCAAAGTCTATGTGACAAAATTTTATGTGTTGTCTCTCTAGTCTCTAGGATCAAGACCTTTTATGGTACTCGATGAAGGTTTTTTGTTTTTTAATACCCTTTTTTTCATTGGAAATAGTCTTAGAATTTCATCATAGAATTACTTTCATATTAGGGTTACATCTGTTTATCAAATCATGTGAATACAAATTAAAAAAAAAATCATAATTTTCATAAATGACTCACTATTATAAAAATTTTATGTTATTAAGAATCAAAGATTATACTAAAATGTAAAGGAATAGTAATGCTATTGCTTTTCAATGAGAGGGAATAATCTGAGATTCTATAAACCTAAAAAGACCGAATACTAGTATTTATTTCATAGTCTCCCCTTCTGTTTAATGCATTGGACCATTTTGGGTTTGGGTTTTGGCAAATGGACTAAGAAATATTGGGCATAAGTCTACCAGTTGACCCATTTTTGTAACAGCACCAACCCAATCTTCATGTTATACCCAAAACCCAAAGATGCTACTCATAATTACTATATAATAATTATATATTTTCATATGTAAAATATGACAATCAACTGTTAAATTTCCTGATTTTCCAAGCAAATAAAAAGAAAAAAACAATCATTTGATGAGTAATTGCAAAAGGTAAAGTGTGGCTAAGTTTGGTATCAATCATCCAGCTAGAGGGACTCATTAGTGGCATTTAATTTTCTATCATTTTTGCATGTGACTCTCACCTAAGGACTCTTTTCTTCTTAACTTTTTCATTTATTTCTGCGAACATTACAACACCTAATTGGTGTTGATTACGATATACATATACCTCTCTTGACCAAGTCCTCCCACCAGTTTATCGAAGACCCATCAAGATATTTGGAGGAGTCTTAAATACAATAAATTCATGTAGCTTTCGACAACTCTTTACAACTTTCTAGTTATATTACAAGGTCATACATAACCATTATCTTTTTTTTAAAAAAAAAAAAATCTATTAAAGTGTGTATCATTCATACTTCTTTTGTTCTTTATCCCGTATAAGATTTTATAACATTTTTTCTCATTTGAATTCATAATGCACTCATTGAGAGTTGAGTCGCCCTATCTGCTCCATCATTAGAATTACTTAATGTGGCATCGAAGTTAGGTCTATATTAATTTTAATATCACTCTATCATAAACTCATTATTTTCTTCATAAAATGTTAACACATTGAAGTGTGCAGCATTCCTATTTATAAAATCAAGGTCTTTTCCATACTTATTCAATGTGAAAAGCCTAACAAAAGTGCTTGAGGATAATTTGGATTCGAGATTGTTTAGGACTCCATGAGAGTTTTAACTAGGAAACTTAGGGCTTTCCTCCTATTTAAAGAAAAAAGAAGAAAAAACCAAAGCAATGCCAAGCAAGGCATGGTGTTCAAATCTTACAAACTAAAACTAAAAATACATATAAATTAACTGTCATTTGTTAAGACACTGAAAAAAAAAATTTAAATTGTACTTTTTTAAAATTTTTTAATAATTTATTTTGGTTTACTTTTATATTCCATTACGTATTATAATTTTCATAGTCATAGACTCGATTAGGATCGTTTTTATTTTATGACCATGATTAGCATAAAATTGAAGACGTGTAAGAAACATTAAGCAATAAATTAGCAACAAGAAAGTAACTATCAAACAATTAAGCGCTCTTATGTTTTCACTTTTTCGCTAGTCGTTTCAATGTCACCTTCAATCAATCTTATTTTATTCTAATATGCTTCTCATAAAATATTATACCAAAAAAAATACTTCTTTTGTCACTTACGGAAATTAAGACAAAAGCTTCAATTTTAATATATTTTGTACTAAAATTTGAAATTGTTTTAATAATGCAGAGTTAAATGCTTTTTAATATGGAAAAACAATTATAATATATAAAATATATGATTTTATATTTAGAAATATTTTAAAAAAAGAAAAATAAATAAAAGAACCAAAGAAGTATAATTAATAATATCATTTATGTTTTTTAACATGACTCAAAGCTTGGACCACGTAAAACATTCAAAAGGACCTTCAAATAAAAAAGAGTTTTCGGTGCCCACAGCCCCACAAATTTGGGGCTCTTTTTTAGGCTTCATTAACCCCACGATTCATGGGCCCAGGGACCACTCAATTATAAGCCTGTGTTGGATCCAGCAAATTGGTGGGCCCTTGATGGACCCCACCTCAAATAAAACGCACCGTGTCGATCCTTCTATTTTTTTTAAATCCAGTAAGTTAATATATTTTAGTAATTCAGTTGCTTAACGGATGCCTAACGTGCGCGCCCTCCCAATCGCTATCTGCTTGTTTTTTGCAAACGGACAAAAAAGCCCTCCCTGATTCCGCAGTAGAAACGGCACTTTTCTCGTCAATTTGTAAAAAGTTTCAGTCCTTTTTAGTCATTCGAGCTTCTCCGTTTTGTTGATGGTTTCTTCTCTTTCCTCTGCAACTTCCAACAACTTTAAACAAAAAAGATGTTTTTTTTTTTAAGAGTATAAATAAAAGTTTGTATTTTTGTTTTGATTTTTGTAGAGGAGGAATCAGCGGGGGGATGATTGTGTACATTGGACGATCTTGAATCTGTTGCTTTATCGCCTGAGAGATCTGGAAAGCTGAGACGATGGCAGCGGGGACAATGGCGACGGCAGCGGGGGCGGTGGTGGTATTGTACTACGTCTGGTTAAGGAAATCTGCAGCCAAAGGTGTAGGAGGAGGCGGAGAAGAAGACGAAGACGAAGATTTATCGAAATCGAGCAGATCGGTGAAGAGGAGGATAGCGCGAAGACCAGTTCAAGCGCCTGCCACGTGGCTGGAAGCAATCGCCACGATATCGGAGACTCTGAGGTTCACCTACTCGGAGACTCTCGGGAAATGGCCAATCGGCGACTTGGCTTTTGGCATCAATTATCTTATGCGGAGGCAGGTTCGTTTCCTGCACGCGCTTGCTTAATTTCAGTTAATTCTCTTAGGTAAAAATTAAAAATTTTGTTCTAAAAAAAACGTTCTTTTTTTTTTTTTAATTTGTTAGGGAAATTTGCAAGTGGCGAGTGTATATGCAGGAAATAATTGTGTAGAACTTAAAGGCCTAGAGATTAAAAGGGAGTTGAATAATCTGCTACGGTTGTTAACTCTTTGTATGCTTTTCTCGAAGAAGCCTTTTCCTGTGTTTTTAGAGTCCGCCGGTTTCTCACTGGAAGATGTTCTTCTTCACAAGCCCAAAGCTGGCGTAAGTTTACCCTTTTCAAAGCATTTATTCGTTTGTTTTAGCTTTATAGTTTAAAGGACAAGCTTATTGTTTGATGAATTGAGCATGTTACGGCCTACCAGTCCGTTAAGAAGACTTAGTCAGCTCATTGTTTTCTTGCTGGTTCAATGTTAGGAGTCTCCTTGTGATAACAAATCGGAATACTGAATGAATATCTCAGCTTAAGTGCCAGGTAAAATATATATTGAGACTTAGTTCTGGGGGAAAGAGTGAGAGAAAGGCGTAAAAGATTAACCATTTTTATCAAACTTAGGTAAAGTAAGGAAGTTAAGAACCAAGGGAGCATCTTTGTTCGTGGTTGATGTAGTCTAGTATATCCATGTGGAATTCCCATTTCTTAGGCTTTGTGGAAATGGCTTACCTCTCACCATAGTCTATGTAGCCTTAGAGATTGTTGACTACTTCTCCTCCAGCTTGATTCTTTTATCATTTCCATTTGCTTTTGGTTTATTAGAAATCCAACTTGGCATTGACTGGTTGATTTTACGAAGCAAATTTTGTGTTACTGAGGATTGATGCGTAGTGTGCGTTCTTTCCAACTGTTCTTGTCTGTAATACTGCAGTTCTAGCTCTTCTATGAGGGCATTAATATATTTTTTGGAATAATTCTTGCAGCTATTGAAGCCTGCTTTCACAATTATATGTGATAAAAATTCAAAGTGTTTCCTTCTATTGATTCGTGGTACTCATAGCATTAAAGATACACTAACAGCAGCAACTGGTGCAGTGGTGCCTTTCCACCATTCAGTTTTACATGATGGTGGGATTAGCAATCTTGTTTTAGGATATGCTCACTGCGGAATGGTTGCTGCAGCTCGTTGGATTGCAAAGCTCACTGCCCCGTGCCTGCTCAAGGCTCTTGGTGAATATCCTGATTACAAAGTCAAGGTAATTTTTAATCATTCAATTTAAAGTCATAGTCATTGCAAATATTTATAACCTCTATTTTCATAGCTATTTAGATGCAGAGTTTTCTGATTGATTCAACATAAACAATGTCTTTTGCATTTTTTAGTGTCTTTGTAATTCCCCGTAAGTATGATTCTTCATCTTCTCAACTAGATCGTGTATATTTTGCTAATGCCTCATTACTGTTGGTTTTTTGTCCTTGATGTCTGGCTTTCTTGAACTTAATTGTAGGTTCGTTCCTCTTAGTTTTGTTTTAGTAATCTTGCCTTTTTTTTGTTAAGCGTTTCTGTAATCTTGCTGTTAAAATTATATACTTTTGTGATATAATGAGTGGAACATATTTATAAATTCTGTACCTAATGTTTTGTTTCATTGTCAGATTGTTGGGCATTCGCTTGGAGGTGGCACAGCAGCATTATTAACATAC